TAAAGAGATGCACATCTGCTTCCCAAGCAGGCTGTGAGCCCATCGCAGGCAAAAATTAGAGCTGTTCTTCCCAGAATCCTCTGTATGTAGTTGTCTAGTGCAGGGATGGGTGGCTAAGAATCCTCTATAAATACTTATTAAGTGGATGAATGAGTGGTTAAGGCTTCTGGAAGCAGGTGACTTTCCCGTTCACTCAAGGTCATTTCAGTTCTCCTCTTATACTTTATCCGCTTTTCCTTATACCTGGATTGAGCCCTAAAACATCTCCAAGTTTAACAGAAGCTGGGGTTAAGTGTTACAGCTAGGCTACCCACTGATGGTACCACAGAATAAATATCACAGAGAACAACTAGAATATCATATAAGGGCCAAATGTTTGGGGTTTTGTGGTGAAGACTAGAGCCTATAATGTAGAATGTAGTAGTGCCTGATTCTTTTTATAACATCCCATTCCAAGAGCTTTTCAACCTAGTTTCAGTAGAACCAGCAGCTCAGCTACTACATTTTGCAATTTCTATCCCTCTCTAATGATTCATAAGGTTCATAAGGTGTCTTCATTAGTAATGTACCATACATCTTAGAGTAAAAATTCACATAGACAGGATTATAAATATACAACTAAACTCTTTACTATCCTTACCATATACAGTAATATGATTTTGTTATCAGTAAGGTTCCTAATTGAAATTCTTATAGCTACCTATGTACAATCACCTAGCTGACACACCTGAAATTGGGTCACAGACCTCTATTTACTACTTAACACATGATTAAGTCAAAGCTATAAACATGAGTTTATTTTTGTACATTGCTTCTGTACAATGATCTTTACCGACTGTAACAACAAGACTTTCCTCTTTGTCACACAACACATGCTGTCAAGGTCTCCAAGGTCTATAGGTTCAGGGAGAACTGAGGAAGACGTAATGATTGAGAAGATTAAAATAAAGAAACCCAAATGAAAAAATGCACCACAGAAAAAGGTTAAGGAATCATAGGCTAATTTTAATGACATCAATAGGAAGAATTCCAAACTATGTTGAGAATTTATATTCTAAAGTTTAAATCTAGTAAATATATTCTGACTACAACATAATCCTCTAAAGATAAATGTAGTTATGATGGTAAATGGAAAGAACAATCATTTAGGTAGCTTTTTGGAATATTGCTATAACTATTTTACATAAATAGAAATCCATGTCTTCATTAGTAATGTACCATACATCTTAGAGTAAAAATTCACATAGACAGGATTATAAATATACATTTATATATAATCTCAAAATCAATCACAATTGAACATTAAGTACACAATTATTATAAAACAAATATAACCCATTAATGTCTATTTAAAGGCATAGTTTTTAGAAAATACTATTTTGTAGACAGTCTCAAAAAAGTATAATACTCCTGGAGCCAGAGTGTTCCAGCATATCAACATGTCAGTAGGAATAAGGCATGTGGGGAAGCTGTGTTCACTTGTCCTTGTGACCAGAACATGCTAGGTGATGAAACAGTAACGACTCTAGTGACCTGGGTGAATGCCACACCCACTGAGCACCCCGAAACCTTAGAGAATTGATTACGCTCCAGAAGAATCAAACTGAGTGGTTATTCACCCAATAGAATAGAGTGGGAGAAAACGGAAAACATTCACTAAACATCAGTGTGTTTTCACTAAAAGAATCCCCAAAAGCTTAATGCATCACATAAATTTTCGGTTGCCAGATATATTTAAAATCACACACACTAGCTACCATTTTCAAGAAAGGACAGTTATATACAAGTCATTTGTTAAACATAAATACAAAGAAGAACAATTTGAAACTAAATAATCTGCTAACCAAATAAAGAATCTAATTAACTGTGAAAGGTATATAGATTCCATTGACATGCCAATTACTTGGCCAATATTAGTCATGGCTTCTTAACAGTACAGAAAACTCAAATTCAAGGATGATACTTTATATGTTCTTCTGTTTTTGTTTTTGTTTTTTTGAGACAGAATCTTGCTATGTAGTTCAGACTGGCCTTGAACTCTCTGTGTAACCCAGGCTGGCCTTGAAGTCTTGGCAAACCTCCAGTAACCTGCCGCACCCCCCCCCCCGGCTCCCCGCCTGCCGACCCCACTCCAGGGCTGGGATTACAAGAGTGCACTACCATGCCTGTCACTTTATATGTTCTTAACAATTCATACAATGTTCAACGGAGGAGGCAAGGCTCAACTAAGGATGCAGGAATTCCTATATATAAACTAAATGACTATAAACTCAAGAGCATGTTTGCCTGTAACATATATAATGTTTTATCTCTTGGGTTTTAAAAGTGTTCAAAAAATCAAAAACAGAAACAATCCTGACAAAGACCTTAAAATGCTGGAGTCTGTATAAATATGCATTTATGTATAAACATACTCACACCCCATCATGTATGTACAAATACATATATATATATATATAAACAATGTGAACAAACTGCTCACCGAACAAAATCAACTCTGTTTAGAGAACAAGGATATACAAGTATATACAACAACAAAGTATATACATTTCAGCATTTGGCCTAGTGCACTGGTCCTCAAACATTTTTTCCATTACATAGCGGATGCTATATACCATGTGTAAAACTCCTATGGGTGTGGTGTATTTTTTAGATAAATGCCTACAGGGAAACAAATTACTTTGAAACATCAAAATTCTCACCGTAAAGGGCAGTTCAACAATAAAATTGTTCACGATTGCCACAGCTTAGGTAAAGCAAAACTGTAGCTTATCAGCTCTGTACTTTACTGCTGCCTCTTTGGCATCAACTCTGGAAAATATATTAGAATATAAGTGCATGGGAATGGCATTATGCCATTTATTTATAATAATAAATCAATTATGTTTATTATAAAAACAAATTATTCACTAACTTGGGTATTTTTACAATTGACCAGGAGTAAGATATCGGAAGTATAATTTACAACTGATTGTGATACACTCATGTGTCCCTGACAGAGAAAGCGTGGGAAAATCACAGTTCAGGAGCCAAACCCAGCCTACTTCCTGTTTTTGTTCTGTCTGCCAGGCAAGGATGGGTTTCTCTTTTTTTCTTTTTCTTTTTTTGGGGTCGGGATAGGGTTTGAGACAGAGTCTTACTATATAGAGCAAGCTGGCCTTGAACTCACATATGTAGACCAGGCTGGCCTCAAACTCGCAAGTGATCTTCTTGCCTCAGCCTCCCGAGTGCTGGGATTATGGGTATGTACCACAACGCCTGGCTGGGTTTTGCATTTTTAAATGGCTTTTAAAAATCAAAAGAACATTTCTGATATATGAAACTATATGAAATTCAAATTCAGTGTCCATTAGGTTTTACTGGAATATAGCCATGCTCATTCATTTACGTACTGTCTACAGCAGAGTGGAACCCCTGAGAGATAGAGCACAAAGCCAAAAATATTTACAATCTGGCTCTTTACAGAGAAAGTTTACCAACCCCTGGACTTGAGCTAAGAATGACACACAACCTCAGTGGTAACTTCTCTGAAGACAAAATCCTGAATATAAACAGTAAACTTACTGAGAGAAATACCAGTAAATAACATCTGGGATAGAAATCCATCCGTGACATGTCCAAACTTTCTCATTTCTTTAATGACAAACACCAGCCCAAGGTAATTAAATACAGCCCCTACATTTTGTCTGAAATCATGTTTATAAATCTGCCTTCGAGACTACAATGGACATTGGGTTCCCAGTTAGAAGCCGAACCAAAATTTTAGGCAAGTGACTTTTTAACTGAGACAAATACATCCTTCTAGTTTTGTCCAATCTGTATATTATTTTTTTAAAACCTGATTAAAAGCACTAATATGACTGATAAAATAATTAAAATGTATTTAAACAGAAAAAAAGTTGCTAGGAAGTAAAATATGTTCCTCTCCCAAAGTCTAAATATAAAAACTCCTCCTACTCATTGTAAATTACTAAAGGGGGGAAAAAGGCACACAACTAATTTGAATAAGGATAGCAGGGTCCATTTAATAAAAATTTTAATGAAGGTGCCTGAATGTGTAGGAAATCATGTTACCTCCCTGGGGCTTTGCTGCACTGGATTTATTAAGTGGTCTCTAAAGTCCTTACCAGTCCTGATAACTTGTGTCAAATGACTAGCCTCAATTTATTTATCTGTGAAACTGTATTAATAGAATTATCCTGTAGTGTGAGAATTAAATGAATTCATCCCTGTGATGTGTTTAGGGGAGCACTAAACACATTTAGCTAGCATTATTATTATTCCATTCAGACACTTCACAAAAGCACTGGTTGAACAAGTTCCCTCTGAGAAGTATTATATTAGAAAATGGGAATACAGAGGCAAAGTTAAAAATTCTTTTCTATTAGGTAAGAATGAAGTCAAACTCCACAGAGTTTCAATTTCAGCACATCTATGAATTGATGGTTCTCTGAGATGATGTCAACTGCTATTCTACATCCCTACTCTGTAAATTCTTATTTCTGCACAATGATTTTTGTTTTAAAATGTCAACTAATGTTCCCTGTAGGGCAAAACAGCATTGTGACTAATGATTTTCCATTTATGTTTCAGAAGACAAAGTTTAGTGTTGGGTAAAAGAATAGTTTATGGTTTGATCACAGGTGGAAGGAGATCATGTTGGCTAGTCTGATAACTTACATGAAATACAGGCCTTTTGAACCAAACTTGCCATGACAATATATAATCATTTATTTTATATATATTTATTTATACATATTTATTTATTTCACAAATATCTTCTGTGAACCTACTGTGGAGCAGGCCTGTTACAGAGATGAGTAACAAGAAAGGGGCCCTACATTAAGGAGTTAGCAGGAAGGACAAAGCCAACAATTACTATGAAGTGTGATGAATATTCTGATGAGAAATCCCAGGAAGCTATGGGTGCACTGGGCAGAGATCCAACCCTATGTAGTCCAGGGGACTGGAGGACAGAATAATGAAGCTGCGACCTGAAAGATTAGTAATAATTTATCATATGCAGAAGGCAGAGAATGTCTGAACACAGGGTGAGTTGAGAAAGAACAGGTCTGGTGCTAGGGTCGAGCTCAGTAGTAAAACGTTTCCCTGGCATGCACATGCACAAAGCCCTGGGTTCAACGCCCAGCACTGAAAAAAAAAAAAGGATACAAAATCTGTAGAACTGAGAGCCCTTCAGTCTTGCTGGGATATGGCAATGGGGAAGGAGGAACAATACTGAAGTTCTGCAAATGGTTTGCATTTTACCAAGGGCAATCACAAGTCACTGAGAGTTCCATGCATGAATATGCAAAGCTGGTAAAGTACAATTAGTGAAATAAGTAGCTTGACTTGAAATGTAAGCAGAAAGAAACACCTGCTCAGGTAGTCCTTCCCTTCTTGCTACTAACTGAAGCCTCTCTTTTGTTTTAACCCATTTACAGCTCACATATTATACACATGAGAGTAAAATATAAAAATATGTGCTTTCTTATCTACAGCACACACAAGTGCCTGCATGCTCAACTCAGCATCCTCCCTCCTAGCCTGTTACTGAGAAAGTGCCACATGGCCATGTTCAGCCATGACCAGAAGGCTTAGTAGAGAGTAGTGCAGTCAGGCGGAGCTATGGACTTGAACCTTGAGTCTGCAACCCTCCCCAGTTCCCTCACTTCCCCGATGTCATTTCATCTCTCCCCATCTGCAAGGAGAAGCACTTCTCCGACAACCCTTGGAAGCACATGGTAATTGCGCAGTGTCACGGAACATAACAAATTTCCTTATTCGGTTCAGGTCTGGAAGAGTTTGAAAGCTTTCCCCACAGACACACTTTCACCTCTGACATGAATCTTGCAGATGGCTTTAGAAACTGCAGGCTCTACTGTTGCTTAATCACAAAGCTGAAGCCAGCAACAGGGCCACGTCAGAGAACTCTAGAACATCGCATTGGAAACGTCTCAGCAGCGTAACTATGCTCAGAGACACCTCTCCTCTCATGGGCTGTTGGCACAGACATATGGGACAAAGGAACATTTGGGTTCCTTTGAAAAAAAGGAAACATTACATCAAGGCATCATTATAAATTACACGGCTGCCAGTCTTATTTACAAGCCTATATGTTTTGAATTAAAACTCCAGGGCAATTCACTATATAGGTCATTTTCCAATTAAAACACAAAAGTATCTCATGTTAAAATCTTTTTGGTTCCAAATCTCTACAATCTGCAAAATGTTGCCATATTGCTAAAATGTCTTACATTTTTGTTAAGATAATTTGTCTGTTATAACACAAACTTAATGTATGCTGATTTTGACAACAGAATTGTCCCTAATCATACATGAATACCTTAGTTTATAAAATATAGTGGTAAAACAGCCTAAATTCTGTTTAGAATTCCCAGAGTTTTATCATTACAATCATTTTACATTCTCAGGAATGCACACAATTCTGTTTCTAACTTTTCCAAACAGCTATAAAACATATTTTCTAACTATATACTAATTTAGCAAAAGTTTAAAATAAATACAACCCATTCTCACATTATTGTAATCTCTCCTGTTTCTCCCGTCAACTGTGTAAATATACAAAAGCATTTGTGCTCTGCAGGAATTTGTTCAAAAAGTTGCCTGTGAACTTCTGACTTTCAGTGAAGTACTCCCTCACGCAAAGTAACAAAGAACACTCAAAAGTAACGCTCTTGGGCTGTAGCACTGACACTAAAGACCATTCAGAGACTTGATTTCTGCTCCTAGCTTTCTCTCTACCTTGCTATGTGTCATCTGACCAAATGGCCAAGGCTACAAGACATGAAGGTCATAAAAAGGCAGCCTTTCTGGATCTGAAATCCTATCAAGAAGACGGTACTCATACCCTCTTCAACAGGATACTGTGAAGCTCAAATTAAAACAAAAACACATTTGAAAGTGCTTACAAAAGTTTTAAGTACTTCCCAACAGAAAGGTCATTATTGAACAATCCTCCTTAATGAGAAGAAAAGCTTGTTCTTTCTTCTAGAAACCTAAAATCATGAGTTGTTTTACATAACTTAACAAAGCTAAACTTATACTGGTTATTCTTGAAAAATATACTAAAGGCTTTCCAATCCATTTCATCTGTTGACTTTGCAGCCCTGGTTAAGGGGTTCCCATCAATAAGTAGAAGGTCAGGGCAACAATGAGGAGCAAACAAAACGGAGATGAGAAGGTCTGATAGGCAGCTGATGGCATAAAAATGTCTTCGTACTTGTAAATACTGACAACGCGCTCAGAAGCGGGTGGAGAATCTATATCGTGTCGGGTGATAGAGCCTTTAAGAAAGCAAAATAGAAGAAGAGAGAGCAGTTGGGAAAATTACAGATTTAAAATGGTACATAGGCAAACAATAGGAAAGCAAAAGTGTTTAGTGTTGAAAACATTCACAGTGATTACAAAGATCTGGAATCAGGTATTAGAGTTAGCGTCAGAATGCACTATAATTGTGCATATAACAAAGAACACAGACAGAAATTAGCTAGTTTCATCCAAATATGGTGGTTTTAATTAATCTGCAACCCCACCCAACATCAGTAGACTATTTGTCTTTCCACGGCATCCTAGTTTTAAGACTGCTACTTAGATAGGGTTGAACAAATTCCTACTTGTAATGCCTGGTGAGTTGCATCTTCTTAACACCACATGGATAAAATATGTTTTGATTTCATTCACCAGTCTACAAATTTTTCTACTCAAATGCAGCATCAGCAACTCCTGAGGACATAAGCATTTCCCTTACGTTTTCTTTCTTTCTTTCTTCCTTTTTTTTTTTTTTTTTTGTCTTTTTGAGACAGGGTCTTGCTATGCAGTTCAGGCTAGCCTTGAGCTCACTTTGTAGCCCAGGCTGGTCTCAAACTCGCAAAAATCCTCCTGCTTCAGCCTCTTGAGTGCTGGATTACAGGCATGCACCACCAAGCATAGATGAAAGCCTCTTTCATTGTCTGTAGGACATAAAGAAGTAGCTTGTCCAAGCCAGACCAGAGGGGGTGTTACCCATACACAAGTCTGGTTGAGTGGGGAAATATGATACAGAAAGTAGGATAACTAAGGAAACCAAACAAGTCTTTGGATGGGAAATTTTTTTTTTGACCTGGTTACAAACGGACCAGTAGTTAAAGGCTCAGTAGTAGAGGCGTGCCTAGCACATGTGAGGCCCTGGGTTCGATCAAAGCACCACCACCAAATTTAAAAAAAAAGAATAAAGAAATAAAAGGTAGTTAATAAGCAGGGCATGGTAGTGTGCACCTGTGGTCCCAGGTACTGGGGAGGCTAAGGCAAGACGATCACTTGAGCTCTGGAGCTTGAGGCCAGCATGAGCAACACAGCAAGCTCAACCCCATGCAACTTCAAAATGATGCATAATAAGCCGAAGCTCATTACAAGTGTGTGACCTTTTTAAAAAGCCATAAGAAACTTTCTTCAAGGAAACTGAGGCGTATGAATTCAGTGCAAGGCCCTCTTTATGGCTAGGGTTCAGAGTAGGTTGTTTGCGTGCGTGTGTGTGTGTGTGTGTGTGTGTGTGTGTGTGTTACTTAGACTTGAACCCAAGGCTTTCACACTGAGCTACATCCCCAGCCTTTGTTATATTTTATTTTGATCCGGGGTCTCACTAAGTTGCTCAGGCTAGGCTCGAGCTTGCAGTCCTCCTGCCTTGGTCTCCCACAGTGAGATTACAAGCATATGCCACCATGCCTGACTACAGTAGGGGTTTTTTTAAGGTAATTTCTGGCGGAAAAGGCCTGCCAAACATCACATGTAAAGTCTCAGCTCCAGAGCTAGCTTCTGTTAGCACAAATTCCTTGGATGGTACAGAGATTCTTCTCCTGAGGGTCCTCTCACTCCTGCCTCCCTCACCTCCCTGGTCATCTACATGAACTCCCAGACTTGACCAGGCAACCTCTGTGAGGAAGGTTCAATCCTGAACTCAAAGTTCATCCCCACAAAGAGACCTTTAGAGAATGGTTAAGATCTGACCAATAGACAGGCTTTAGAAGGGTACTCGGGGAAACAAGAAAAACACAGGCCTATACCCTAGGCAGGAATTATTGTGCACAGAAATAGTGAGGAGATAATAGAAGTACTGAGAAAACTTATCAGATAAAGCTGGATAAAACTGGAGAGGACTTTGAACATGAGGATAGGATGCCATATATATAAGAAGATGATCTTGTGAGATACAGTTGTCCACCTTATCAGTGAGTTTACCTTTCGTGGTTTCACTTTCCCACAGTCAATCAGGGTCTCCAAAAACACAGTACAGTGCAATAATATATTGTGAGAGAGAAAACGAGAGATTACATTTATATTAACTCATTATATCATTATTATTGTTCGGTTTTTAGTTATTTTTAATTTCTTATAAATTATGTAGAGGAAAAAGACATGATGTATATAGGCTTTCAGGCATCTAGTGGGATCTTAGAACACATTCCCCACAGATAACAGATAACTGAGGGTGGCTGTACAGTACTTTCTAATCTGTAAAGCAACTTCAAATACTTGGTTTCATTTAATCCTTTCAATAGTCTTATGAAGTAGATATTATCATCCCCACTTTAAATATAAGGAAACAAAGTTCCAATTTTAGATAGTAGGCTGAATATTATATAGCAATGAAGGGCAAGAACCAATACTCAAACTCTGATTTTTAAGATTTTAAATTCCAGAACTTAAATGAGTCCCTTTCTCTAGGCTACGATATACTTTATTTCCCAGGACACTGAAAGTACTTGAAGGTATCTTTGCAAGTCCATTGATAAATCAGTGTTATGTTTTGTGTCTGCAGGTCCCCCTAAATCCTCATGCAGTCATGGGATGGGCTTCTAGATTTTTGATTGATCCATGATCCAATGCTGGGATTAGGGGTGTGAGTGCTAGACCTTACCCTGGGGCGGGTAGTTTGCATAATGTAAGGGAGAGAAAGAGGCTACTTGCTGATTCTCCCCCTTTTTGTTCTTGTTGCTTTTGCTGTTTTCCACCACCATGAACTGTTCCCCTCTGCCATGTGCCACTCTGCCTTGGAGCCAGCCAAGTATGGACTGAAACCTCCACAAACTGTGAGCTAAATAAACCTTTCCTTCCTTCATTTTGGGTGTTGGGAATTTTGTCTCAGCAACAACAGCAAAGTAACCAAGACAATCAGCAAATGGGAAAGGTGTTCAAAATCTGGAGGTATCCATTATACAACTTCCACACCAATCAATGAAAACAAAATGAACAAGAAAATCCCCCAAAACTGAGATCAGATGAGGCAACAGGCAGTTGCTAAGCACACAGTAAGACAGATGTAATTAGCAGGAAGCAGGATGAAATTCCTGCATAAGGACTGCAAACCAAACTCATTTCTTCGTTATGCTGCTAGGCTGATGAACAAGGAGGAATGCTCAAGACAGTGTGATGTGATTTTATCTTTGTCTAAAAGGTCTCATGATGTCCCTGAGTCTTTGCTGGAGAAATGCTGAAGAGCCTTGTCTCCCAAGGTGAGGTCATCCATGGGTTAGCATCACCACAGAACGTACTAGAAATACAGAATCTCAGGCCCATCCCCACCTAGGCTGGCAGAAGACTGCAGTGTAACAGTACAGCCAGGCAATCCCTCATGCACATTAATACTTGTGGAGTAATGTGAGAGACTTATAGGATAATTTGGTGGGTTCATGACCACCAGAATAGTCCTAAAGTGAGCCTTAATAACATGCTTGCTGCCAAGCTCAAGAGAACCCTTCCCCTGGTCAGTATTTTTCTATTTGAGGACAGAGGTTAAGGGTATTCACTGACTTTGGGGTCAAACAGACTTAGGACTGAATTTTAGTTCTTCCCCTTCATTAGTTGTATAGCTTTGAGCAAGTTTCTTAATTTCTATAAGATGAAGATAACAACATCTAGACTTCTGCAGGTTTTGGTAAGGACTAAATGGAGACATGGTGAGAATTAAACAAGCCATACCCCACAGAGCGGACAAATACCTGTTTCACCAAGCGCATACCTCATCGCGTGCTATCTCGTAACACTCCAGCTTTGCTTGTGTGTGCTACTTGTCCTTGGGTATAAGTTCATTATAACCTTCTGAAGAAAGGAGTCAGAGCTCTTTCTTCTTTTATATTATTTATAAATGCTTAAGGCTGTTTGGCGCGCACAGTGTGACGTCAATGAATAACAAATGCAAGCACAGTGGTGGAGGTGTTCAACGCAGACACTGAAATGCAAGCTTACCCTGAATGGCTGGACCCCAGGCAAACAGGTAATACCAACTCAAGTGGAGATCGACAATGGTTTCATCTCTGGGAACATTCACAGGGCGTTTAAATCTGCAAGTGACACGATTGTTCTCAAAAACTCCTTCTTCATCTCTGGCAGGATTTCTCTGAATCTCTTTCGCCCACTGGCCCACGTTATAAAAGTGCTGTATGCGGACCCTGCCGTTGTCATCGTGGACGCAGGCCATGACATCATCACCACCCTAATATGGAAATGATTCAGAAGAAAAAAGTCAATTCGTCTTTTGTAAACTTTTCACTCAGAAGCAAACATTCCCTCACTTCTGTAACTTGAAATCCTACCAAAAATTATTTTAGGGCTGGAGATGTAGCATAGTGGTGCCAGATGATGTTGTTCGGCAATATACTTTATAATAAGTGGGTGTTTACTTGAGTTCTTTGAGCTACTCTAGTAAATTAATGAAACTCCATGAGGGGTGGAGGAACCCTGATTTATACCCACTTGGTCAGAAACACAGGTCACAGTTTAAGATTTGCAACTGGCATCTAAAGTGAGAGTTAGTAGTTAGGCAGGTATGAGGTGTGATCAAAACATACAGTGAATGTTTAAAAATCTAAAAGATTTTAAATTATTATAGTAAAAGACACATGGACATTAATCTCCCTCAAAATAGTCCCCTTCTCTGAGCACACTAACAACATCATTCTTGCCACTTTCTGAAGCAGTTCTTGAAGTCTTCTTTGATGTGCGTCTTTTCACGGTTGCCTCAATGTCTTGAGTTAATTCAAAAGGTTTAAGGCAATTTCTGTCAAATAAAACCATTACAGTGCATCCTCATTCACTTTTTTTCTCCAGATCTGACACCCAATGACTTCTGGCTCTTCCTCAAAGTTGAAATGCCTATGAAAAGTAATTGTTTTGCATTGATTCAGGACATTGAGGCAGCCATGACAGCATAACTAAAGACTTTCACTAAAGAGGATTTCCAGAACCTTCAGAAAGGGGCAAGAATGATGGGGTAAGTGTGCTCAAAGCAAGGGGAGGAATTTTGAGGGGGGATTAATAACTATGTGTCTATTTCTATAAAAATTTTTTTAAAAAATTAAATAGCCACCATATTTTTTTCATCAGACCTCATGCTTTTAGGGACAACCACTTACGCTTGCGCCCACATACCTCTGTGTGTGTGTGTGTGTGTGTGTGTGTGTGTGTGTGTGTGTGTAAGGCATGCTGGCCCTTTAAATTACTAACATTCCTCCAAGTTGCTTTTTTGTTTCAGTTAAGGCCTTCCAGAGTAATCATCCAACCAGTTACTCTGACTTGATCTTCTTAGGTAACTTAGAGTAAACTTTGCTCATTATAATACTAAGTTCTCTGCCCAAAGGTGTACCACTAGTTGTTCTTTTATCACACGTAATGTAAGTACCTGTCTGTAAATATGATAAGTCCTTCTTACCTGAATATGCAAAAGTTTCCCCCCAAAAATCTCCTTGTTTTCTTTGTTCAAGAGGACATTACTTTAGGAGTTATCCCTAGAGCTTTTTCCTTACTTGTTGCAAGTAAGAAATCCTCACTCTTATCTCCTGGTTGCATTTATCAGCTCTGTGCTCATGAAGGGGTAAACCACTCCATCTGGTTTCACAGGGACAGAACTGACCCTTAACCTGTGGGGTCTGATGCTATCAGAAATGAACCAAATTAGAGGACACCCGGATGGTGTCCATCGGAGAAGTGCTTGGTATGTAGTGAAGAACCACCATGTATCTGGTCATAGATGTGCTCAATGTTGAGTGTGTAAGTAGAGGGGGAAAATCAATTTGTATTCGGTGCCCCTTTTGCCATGAAAAGAACGTGTTTTGGTAGCACATTCTAGACTGATTAGAGAAAACCTGAATCCAAACCATGGACTGCCACCACGTACAGCTGAGCCCCACCTAGAATGAGCTGAGCCCAATCAATGCACACACGTAGGAGTGAGAAATACTGTAAATGTTTTCTGCTCTTAGATAAGCAGTTCTAGAGGCACTTGATGCAGCATTACTGTGGATATAGTTTATGACTACAGCTCCATAAGCCACCTTGTATTTTGATAACCAATCTTTCCACTTAAACTAGATTTTATTTTACTTTTATTTCATTATTTTATTTTATGCACTGGGGACTGAACTCAGGGCCTCATACATGTTAGGTAAGTAATCTATGGATAAGCTATATCTCTTGTGCTTTTAAAAAATTTTTATTTTGAGACAGGTTGGCCTCAAACTTGCGATCATCCTGCCTCAGCCTCCTGAGGGCTAGGGATTACAGATGTGTACTTTGGTGCTCGCTTCAGCAGCACATATACAGATGTGTACTTTGAATTTTTTTTAAACTTGCAGTAAAAGAGATGTAACTAATGTAATCACTATGCTGCTTTGATCAATTTTGCCTCTTAAAATCTAAAAAAGCACAGCGAACTAAAGAGAAAAGCCGGTTTCTATCATGACTTGCATCTTACCATTTTCTTGTCTGAAGAGAATCCAACTGCTACCCAGCCATCTGTGTCTGCACTCAGCTCAAATTCCACATCAGCCCCTATCATCCGGTAGCTAAGGAAGTAGTCACAGGTCTCTGCATTACAGCCTGGTTTGCCGTACCTACAGGATACATCAGGAAAGACATTGGCCCTTGTGCTTATTAAAAGACAGTAAGAGGGCATCTACTATGCATCAAATAGGATGCTAAGCAATATTATTAAATACTGGATCTTTGCTTCTTGGACCACTTTATCTACATAAAACATGAGGTCCAAAGAAGAGAAGGGCCTTGGTCCAGGTTGCATAGTAAGTCCATGGCAGCAAAGGCAGTAAAACCTGGGACTCTAAACTCCCCGTGTTCTCTGAATTATAGTAGAGTTTCTTCAACTTCAGTTATTACTGTAAGAAAAGGGAACTTGAAAGCAGTCTATTTTCAAGATAAAACAGTTAAACTCTGAATAGAAAATTATAGACAGTTTTCAAACTCCTTGACAAAGTTCATGAATGTGGAAGATTCCTGGGCAGATAGGACCTTGAAGGAAAGATAAAAATAATAAATAAACCTTTGTAGAAGGGAGGCATGGTAGAGAAAGGGAGAAGAAAAGCATATTCTTCCAGACAAAGCTAAGCAGAAGCATAGTTATATAACTGTAAGGTCACATGAAATCACTACACAGGTACATCTGCTTTTCAGAGAGTTCCAGAGTAAAAAGCAGAGTCTTATGAAGAAATCCAAACTCTAATTGGGAGGAGGACTGGGGAATTATAAAGAGGTGATGAAACATTAGGTGATGCCCAGGGAAAGATTGTGCCTCTTCTCCTACGGGGCCAAGACCAACAAAGAGAAGGACCACCTGTGCACTAGAGTGTATAATGCCTGGGGTCCATCAGGCACTTAGGCTTCCAAGACTGACTGCATTAAAGCCTCACTTTCACTGTTCTTCCTGACTCTGAAGTCCATTCTTTGGATGAGTGAACACATTTCCCACATTACTAAATTATTTCTGAATACTTTCAGAGGAAAAGGATTCTTTAAATTAATAATTTAAATTGGTTTGTTAATTCAATTTATATCAACTTTTTACTTACAAATTTTCATAATTTTAAAATATCACAAAATTTAAAATTATATATAAATCAAATTAAAACCTGGATCGTTGACGATAATATGCAATATAACAACCACTGTTAATTCCTATCATTTTGTTTTGAAACCCTGTATCATTTTTACTGTTTTTGTGTTGTTTTGTTTTTGCTTATGTTGTTATTCTGTTATTTTTTCTACTCTCTTTAAAATTAAAAAAAGAAAAAATTTAAAACCTAGAACATGGACATTCACAGCATTCGGGTCATGAATCTTCCTCACATAACCAGCTGGAGAGGAATGGCCTGTACCACTGGCACCACAGCCCGGAATGGAGAACTAGAGAATGTCCCAGGGCTACGTGCATGCTTGAGCTAAAATACTTAGAAAACTCCTTAACCTTGCTGAAGTTACACAGGGCCATGGGCCCCTGACTAGCATAAACTGCATACAATTGAAATACTCCCTTGAGAAATAAATAGATTTCTTAGCTTTAAATTTACCCAACTTGGAGTTCTACCAACCTAAAGCATCCCTTAGTTTTCCCACAGTCTTCCACTTTGATTTTGGCAAATGGATCCACAGGAGGAGCAGTAGGGAAAGGGTAACCTGGGCAGTAAGAATAAGAAATGGTTAGAAAATCTAGTAACAACTTTTTCAATGAGATTTTTTAAAAATATGTTGCTTTTTTTCTATCGCACATGTCTAGCAATGTTTGGGGACTTAAAAAAAGGATTTTAATTAAGCCTAATTGGTCCCTTCATGAGGGGAGGGCATGGGGCACACTCCTTTGGATTGAAACTTATGTGGGATCTGGGAATGGATGGGCCTCTTCTCATTTTATAGTCAAGAAACAGGAGACACATGTGAAACATAATTCCATATAACACTGTTGCTTAGTAGTTTTAAAGTCAATTTTAATAGAATACCCATGCTGTAAAGAAAAAATAACTGACAATGATACACACGTCCTGATAGTATTTTCCACTTATACAAGTAATAAGATTTTCCATTCCCTTTCTCAGATCTACCGTTTTGCTTAAGCAGTAACATTTTCACACGTCTCTAAATTCCTCAAAGAGAATTCTAACAGCTGTGTATATCTCTTATGAGATTACTCACCGCCATAATGCACCGAATCACATACTGAAGAACAGGCAACCTTATGGCTCCAGTTTATCACAGAAATCTTTTTCTCCTGGGCTGTGTACCTTGTGTGTTCTCTGCCCAGCACAAAGTTTGGCAGTGGACACTTAAATATGTAAATGATTGTCAGATGATAAAACAAAATCATCTGCAGGCATTAGGTAATGTAAATAAACTTGAGAAAACTAATTATTTTTTCTCAATTAGTCTGAGGTATTTTGTGACTCGTAATGCTTTTCATATTGTTTTGTTTTATTGTTTCATTAAATTTATTAGACATTAGAGATAAGCTCAATGGTAGAGCATGTTCTTTGCATGCCTAAGGCCATGTGTTCAACTCCTAGCACTGCAGAAAAAAACAAACGGAAAGATGAAAGAGAGAAGAAAGAAAGAAAGAAAGAAAGAACGAAAAAGAAGGAAAAAGAAAAAGGAAGGAAGGAAAGAAGGGAAAAAAGGAAGGAAGGTGTTATGGTTTGTGTCTGGGTGTCCCCCAAAAGCCTCATGTGGCCACGGGGCAGGCTTTTAGAGTTTGATTGATTATGGGTGTGAGAGCTACACCCACCCTGGGGTGGATAGTTTGCATATATAAGGGCGAGGAAGAGGGTGCTTCTGGCCATTTCCTCCCTTGTGTGTGCTTGTTGCTTTGCTGTGTTCTGCCGCCATGAGCTGTAGCCCTCTTCCATGTGCCACTCTGCCTTGTAATCTGCCAAGTATGGACTGAAACCTCCACAAACTGTAGGCAAAATAAACTTTTCCTTGCTTAATTTTGGGCATCAGGTATTTTGTCCCAGCAACGAGAGAAAAGTAACCAAGACAGAAGGAAAAAGGAAGGAAGGAAAAAGGAAGGAAGGAAGTAAGGAAGGGGTCTCCAGACTACAGTTTGCTGGCACACACTGTGCACTTTGAATATTCCATTTCTATGATGGACACGTGACTCTCACCACGCCTAGACAATTGGGTCACATACATTACTTTTTCTAGTTTTGTGCTTATCTTGTGCTAAAACCTGTACTCATTTCAGTATATAGACTGAATCTTGCTTTGGATGAGGCTTTCTGTTTTTCTCTTAATATTTACTGAGCAGCTGTTTAATGCTACAAACCTATGGGAAGCATCTTCATATATGTTCTTCCTCTTATTTCTCACCACAATCCTGAAGTCATTTTTTTTTCTCAGAATGTTTATCCAGAAATGCAATGACCATGCACTGCTTATGTACTTAGATTCTGTAGGTGACTGACAAAGACAATCTCTTTTAATGTTCCCCATGAGCTAAAGAAAGAAAAAAACTGACAATGATACACTTATGTACTTGACAGTAGGTTTTTTTCATTTATGTACATAATAGGATTTTTCCATTCCAGTTTTGAAGTTACAAAGGGACACAGGCCCTTGATTAGCATTAATTGCATGTAATTTAAATACTACCTTGAAAAGTAAGCACATTTCAAACATACCCTCACTATTTCTTACCTTCTAAACTAATACATTTGCATATGATAGATTTCTAGCTCCATAAATGCCAGTTATTGGGGGTATAGCTCACTGGTAGAGCATTTGACTGCAAAAATGCGAGTTATTATTACTACTGGATCAGTATTACTATTAAATTTTGTAAAGTGGACTGAGAACTAATAATCATTGGCTAAAAAAATAGGTATCTAAACTCCAAATAAAAGCAAGTTTTAGAACCAAGCTCACGTAAATGTTCTGAACTAATTTATTAGTGCTGGCAAATAGCTTCTCTAGCACTAATTTTCTATCATCTTGTATCTTTCTAGAACTTGGAATGAGAACTTGTATTCTATTAAAATGCATTTGTGCATCCCTTTAAGAACTTTTTTTTCAGTGCTAAAGGTTGAACTTAGGGCCTCCAGCTTGCTAGATAGGAATGTCTTTGTTACTCATAATGCCCTTGAGTCACACCAGAATGGGAAGTGGTCACCAGAAAAACCCATCGTGTGATTAGTGGTTTAGGGCTTGGAGCCAGTCCCACCTCAAGGGAAGAAAGGGAGGCAGGGGATTGAGTTCAGCCACATGGCCAATGATTAAATCCATCACGCCTATATAACAAAGCCCTAAGAAAAGTTCTGGACACTGAAGCTCAGGGGGCAATCCTAGCTGAACACATTAATGATATGTTGGGTGCGTGACATGATTCCACAAGAAAGCACAGGAACTCTGCACTTGGGATCCTGCCAGACCGCACCCTGTTTCTCTTCATTAGCTGGTCTGGAGCTGTATTCCACAAACTACAATTGTAAGCATGGTGCTTCCCTGCGATCCACACGGCACTCTAGCAAATTATGTAACAGGAGTGGAAGGAAGCCCCTACATTTATAGCTGGTTGGTCTGACATGTAGAGAGTCTTGCTGGGGGCCAGGACCTTTAACCTGAGGAGTTTACAGTACTTCTGGGTCTTTAGTGACAGAAATCAATTGCAGTACACTAATGGGATGTGGTATTAGAATAAAGCAGAGCAATTTTATAATTTTTCCTGAAATTAAATGATCCTGCAAAATTTGGTATAAGTAAGTTTGCACCATGTGCCAGTACCTATGTTCTTGTCTCCTGGCACCAGCCCAACCTTCCAGAGGCTGAGTACTTGCAAACCCTTCCTCCTTTGCCAGCTGCTGAGCCAATGCCAATAGCAGGCACTCAAGGAAGACAGGAGGCAAGGAGGACTGTTCCTTCCTGTTAGGTTGCTGTCCCAATATTTAAATCCTCTGTAACTCTGCTTCATCCTTACAGTGGAAGTTGGTTTAAGTTCTTAGCTTTGTGCAAGACTCTCAGAACCAGCCTCATTCTGCTGCTCAAAGGGGCCTGCAGCTCGGCAGAGCCCCACTCTCCAACAATAATCACAACTGTGGAGGCTCCTGTCCGAGCTTGCAGGTTCTGCTAACCCAAAGCCTTTCATTTTGTAATTCTGACCCCAGGGGTGGTAGCCATTTCCTGCTGCCTTGGTCTCTTTAGTCTCTCAAATTCTTCCTATGACATTCCCTAGGATGCTCATCCCTGTTTAAAAAGCTAGTATAATTTGTCTTTCTAAAAAAAAAAAAAAAAAAAATTGTCTTTCTAACTGGAACTTGACTGATAGACTGAATGGATTAATCCTCAAATACACAATGTATTTTCCAAGACTGTAGCTTATTAGCAAGTATCATTTTGAAGGCTAGACAATAATGCTATTCAATATTCATTATTCTGTTTCATATGCACTACACATTTCTAGTGGTAAATTACTTCAAAAAACTTTTTTTGCTAGCCAGATATGATGATGCATGCCTGTAAGCCCAGCTACTTGGGAGGATGAGGCAGGAGGACTGCAAGTTCAAAGCCAGTCTGAGCAACTTTAGCAAAAACCTGTCTCAAGTAAGAGCTGTGGATGTAGCTCCGTGGTAGAATACTTGCCCAGAACACATGAGGGTCTGGGTTTAATCCTCAGTACGAAAAAAGGCAGTCTGACAGACATATGCACCTTAGAAAAACAGTACTTTTACTGCAATAAACTTAACACATTAGTAACAATGGAAATAAGACAACATGAGATTGAAGGGAAGGTTCTCACTTCCATGAAGCATGGAATTCGACCTGCTCACACTATAAAAAGCCCTATATCCTCCACACCACCATCCTAAACTTCTAGCCTAACAAGGTAAGGTAAGGTAGTTACCAAAACTGCCGGCAGCAAAATGTGTATCTCAAGATCAGGTTCTAGGCACAATTTCTCACTCGGCCGATGGACCTATCGTGCCACACTGGTTAACAGATGCACTACATGAGACAGCCCACGACCAGGCACTGGTCTGGACATGCCCACACAGAGTAGACTAACAAGGGCCTGACCCAACTTACTATTCACCATCTGTGTGTTTATTTTTATGTATGTGTTCTCAAAAAGTGTTTATGTATGTTATTAATTTGCATAAAGAAAATGCAATAGATCTCATTTTGTCTAATATTTTCCTTTTGAAATCTACCTACACAGGTAAATTTACATAGGTAAACAGTATTCCCTGATGTGCATATAATCACATTTTCTTAAAATGTCCTTCCAGGTTAAGCCATTCTGGTTTCCTACAATGCTTACCTTGTCAAACAAGGAAGAGATGAACATCCTTACCTATGTTTCCTGTAGGCATACGGAAGAGGTTTTGTTTTGTTTTAATAAGAAAACAAAAGGAAAGAAATTGATGGGCCACATCTTCAATTCCACCAAGATGAATGAGGTAGTGTTCAGTACGACAGTTCAGTTTACAGTCCCATTAGTAGCATGTGACTGTCCCAGCTTCCCCACACCCATGCCTGTACTTGGTATGATCATTCCCAAATTTTAATCTGGACTTCCCTGAGTACTGGTAGAGTCAACATCTTTTATATGTTGATTAAACATTTGGGTTTTCCCTTCTGTAATGTATAGTTCTACCCTTTTTGTTCAGTTTGTTATTTGGGTTTTGATCTTT